CTCGACAACGATGAGCGCGACTACCGCGAGCTGGTCTTTGGAAAGAACGTCATCGATATCGCCGAGAAGACAATTGGTCAACTCCTGGTCGATGAGGTCTTCCATCCTTTCTACGTCTTTCAGATCGCCAGTCTGATCCTTTGGTCCATGGACGAGTACTATTACTACGCCTGCGCCATCTTCATCATCTCGGCCGTCAGTATCGTCACCACACTCATCGAGACAAAGGCTTCCATGAAGAGACTGCGCGAGGTGTCGAAGTTCGAGTGTGAAGTTCGTGTACTGCGAAGCGGCTTCTGGACCCATATCGACTCAGCCGAGCTCGTACCTGGAGATGTCTACGAAGTCACCGATCCTTCCCTTGCGCTATTCCCATGCGACAGTCTGTTACTCTCTGGAGATTGCATCGTCAATGAGAGTATGCTGACTGGCGAGTCGATCCCTGTTTCCAAGGTCCCCATGTCAAATCACGCTCTAGACCTCCTAGATCTCAGCGCTTCGGCTGTCCACCCTGAAGTCGCACGACACATGCTGTTCAGCGGTACTAAGATCATCCGCGCTCGCAGACCACACGAAGATCACGTTGATGACGAAGCCGCTGCATTGGCTATGGTTGTGCGCACTGGTTTTAACACCACCAAGGGCGCACTGGTCCGCTCGATGCTCTTCCCCAAGCCATCTGGATTCAAGTTCTACCGCGACTCTTTCCGGTACATCTCCGTCATGGCTTTCATTGCTATGATCGGCTTCGTCGCATCTTTCATCAACTTTGTGCATCTAGGCCTTGCATGGCATCTGATTGTCGTACGAGCTCTCGATCTGATCACCATTGTCGTTCCTCCTGCTCTCCCAGCCACACTCACCATTGGTACCAGCTTCGCGCTATCGCGCTTAAAGCAGAAACAGATCTTCTGCATCAGTCCACAGCGAGTCAACGTTGGTGGCAAGCTGGATGTCGTCTGCTTTGACAAGACTGGAACTCTTACCGAGGAAGGTCTCGATGTTCTTGGAGTCCGCGTAGTCGAGCGACCAAGGAACAGGTTCAGTGAGCTGCTTCCAGATGCCTACGACATCCTCCCTGCGTCGCAGCACGACCGCGACCCCACTGTTGAATACCTCGCACACAAGACGATTCTGTACACCATGGCTACTTGCCATTCACTCCGTAAGATCGATGACGAGCTCGTAGGTGACCCGCTTGACGTCAAGATGTTCGACTTTACCGGCTGGAGCTACGAGGAAGGAGAACAGAAAGCCGGCAACGCTGGTGACGACGACCCTGAGCAGAAACTTTCGCCATCTGTTGCCCGACCGCCACCAGGCCGCGAATATGATGTCGACGATGTTGAAGACGACGCCAACAGGAAGCAAGTCGAACTTGGCGTACTCAAGGCTTTCGAATTCGTCTCACAGCTACGAAGGGCTAGTGTCATCGTTCGCCAGTTTGGTTCAAAGAGCGGACAAGTATATGTCAAGGGTGCACCCGAAGTCATGAAAGAGATCTGCAGGCCTGACAGCTTCCCTACCGACTACGAGGAGCTTCTAGCCTTCTACACTCATCGTGGATTCCGTGTCATCGCTTGCGCTACGAAGTCAATCCCCAAGCTCAACTGGCTTAAGACTCAGAAGATGAAGCGTGAGGAAGCAGAGAGCGATCTGGACTTTGTTGGTTTCATCATCTTCGAGAACAAGCTCAAGGACAGCACCGCCCCTGTTATCGAAGAGCTTGAACGCGCCAATATCCGCAAGGTCATGTGCACTGGTGACAACATTCTCACTGCTATCAGTGTGGCTCGCGAGTGTGGTCTCATCAACAAGACTGCTCACTGCTTTGTGCCTCACTTCGAAGAGGGTGATTCTCGGACGGCACTATCGAAGCTCAGCTGGGAAAGTGTAGACGACCCCGTCTTCAAGCTTGACGATAACACCCTCAAGCCCCTGCCACCGCCTCCCGAAGCCGACGTATCCCTCCCCTACGACATCTCCAACCTCCGCAACTACAGCTTAGCCGTCAGCGGCGACGTCTTCCGCTGGATCGTCGACTTTGCCTCCGAATCCGTCCTCCGCGAAATGCTCGTCTGCGGCCAAGTCTTCGCCCGCATGTCCCCCGACGAAAAGCACGAACTCGTCGAAAAACTCCAATCAATCGACTACTGCGTCGGCTTCTGCGGCGACGGCGCCAACGACTGCGGTGCCCTCAAAGCAGCCGACGTGGGCATCTCCCTCTCCGAAGCCGAAGCCTCGGTTGCCGCGCCCTTCACATCCCGCCAATTCGACATATCCTGCGTCCCGCAAGTTATCAAAGAAGGTCGTGCCGCCCTCGTCACAAGCTTCAGCTGTTTCAAATACATGTCGCTTTACAGCGCTATACAGTTCTGCTCCGTCTCCTTCCTGTACGCCAGCGCGAGTAACCTCGGCGACTTCCAATTCCTCTTCATCGACCTGCTGCTCATCCTGCCCATCGCCATCTTCATGGGCTGGTCCGGCGCCTACCCGATGCTCAGCCGCAAACGTCCGACTGCCAACCTCGTGTCAAGAAAGGTGCTTACGCCACTACTGGGCCAAATGGTCCTATGTATCCTCGTCCAATTCATAGCCTTCCACTACGTCCAAAAACAGGAATGGTACATGCCCCCCGTCCTCGACCCCAACCACAGCAACAGCTTGAACAGCCAAAACACGGCCTTGTTCCTAACAAGTTGCTTCCAATACATCTTCTCCGCCGTCGTCCTCAGCGTAGGGAAACCGTATCGCGAACCCATGGGTCGTAACCTGCCTTTCATCACCACTATCTTCGTTACCCTCGCCATTACGCTGTATATGCTGTTTGACCCCGCCGCGTGGGTTATGCAAGCGATGGAACTCACGTTTTTGGATACACAGTTCAAGGTTTTCATCTTAGCGCTGGGGCTGGGCAACTTTGCGGCGGCGTATGTGGGGGAGAATATGCTGTTTCCGGGGCTGAGCAAGTGGATTGGGGTTGCGAAAGTTAGGTTTGGGGGCGTGGGGATGCAGAAGAAGAGGAAGGAGTATAAGGTTATTGCTGAAGGGATGAGGATGTGAGGCAGTTTGGGTTCTGTGGGGGTGGGGGTGGAGATGAGGTGGGAGGGTTTGGGGGAGGGGTGTATATATATCGGGACTGGGGTTTGGATAGACAAGAAGAATATTATGAGATTTCGAAGAGGGGTGTTCTTGACTTGGCTGCAATGTAGACATCCTTGCTCTCAGTACGTCATGCTGTTCTTGCGCCCATGCTTCGCTGCTGGAAATCACGGTGAAGGCGCGCTTGTTTGTTGATGATCCGTATCACAGCGCAACGCAGTGCGGTATCTCACTCTCACTTTTCCTCGTCACCTCTGACCGCTTAGTGGTTTATCTTGATACAGCTCTCTCACAATCCTTCTGTCTCTCTCTTTATCACACTCCACTCGTCTCTTGTCGGATACTTCGTACAGCACTCAGCACGCATCACTTGCAGTCGCCTTCGACGATCAATCCGTCTTTAACAACCACCATGCCTGGGTGGGTGGGGGAGGAGGAGGGGAGGCGGAGGGGAGGCGGAGGGGAGGTGGTGGACGTCTCGCGCTTCTAATTGGGTTCACGGTGAAAGCGCGATTGATTGTTACCTGGGATACAGTTCGTATGATAGCGCGGCGCGGTACCTCACTCTCACTTTTCCTCGTCACCTTTGGTTGCCTAGTGGCTTATCTTGATACCGCTTCTACACAAACCCTCTGTGTCTTTCTCTACACCATCCGCCAACGTTTTCTAGCGAGATACTCAACGCACGACCTTCCAACCGCACTCAACGATCAGTCCGTCTTCAACGATCAACATGCCACCCAAGAAGAAGGTCGACGGTGACAGTGCCGACACTGGCGGCGACGGCGTAAGTACACGCCAAATCCACTCACATACACATTTACTGACAACCCTCCTTAGAAATTCCGCTGGACCGCCGAAAACGAGCGCACCGTAAGTCCCATCCCCCAAACCCCCTCCTCAACCCTCCTCACAACCGTCTAACTCACACTCCCAGCTCCTCCTCCTAGCCATGAACCGCGGCACCCTCACGAAAGACGACTACCACAAGATGGTCGGTGCCTTCCCTGGTCCCGGTACGTTTCCCCTACACACCTGGGTACTCCCCAATCCGCACTGTTTGTGTATCTGTGTATCCGTCTACTAATGTAAAGATTAGCAGGAACAAACTGGGACGCGATCCGCCAGCGATTCATCAAGATGCGCAAGGAGCAGCGTGCGCTGTGTGAGCAGCTAGATTGGCCTCTCCCTTGTGACGCGGAGAAGACTCCTACAAAGACTCCGGGCAAGTCGTCGAAGAAGAGGGAGAAGGGTGAGGAGGGTGGTGACGCTGAGGTAGCTGGTGAGATGGAGTCGCCTACCAAGAAGCCGCGTGCCCGCAAGCCGAAGAAGGAGGTTGTTAAGAAGGAGGTCGAGGAGGACGATGGACTTGGTGGTGAGCTGTATCGTGAGCTAAATGGGGATGATGGCGTTGTCAAGGAGGAGCTGCTTGAAGAGGGTGTTTAGGAATTCTGGGCGCTTGAGAGGACAGGCACGTGAGCGCATGACGGGTTCTACTGATTTCTTCATGATGAGGAATATTTGAGTAAGGCACTGCCTCGAGCATTAGCAAACTGGCAGTACAAATGCACTTTGCACTATCTGCGGCATTTCATCAGCCTGACAAAAGCCATCTCCAAATTCGTCTTTTGTGATTTTCCATTTTCGCGCTGAGTGTGCAAAGGTGAAGGTGAGCTTAAAAACTCGTTATGTTGCACAGATCTAGATTCAGATCTCACTCTCACTATCCTCAATCCCGCACTTTTCAATGTCTACTTAAACACGTCCCTCATATCTTGTCCCCTCTCCCCTCTTCTTCCTCCACTACCACATTCCCACTTTCTTACACCATCTACCAACCCACACAAACCCAGCACTCCCACCTCAGTTCCCCATACCAACAAACTACTTCACCAACAATGCCTCCCAAGAAGAAGGTCGCAGCAGCTGAGGGCGGCGAGGCTGAAGGCGGTGTATGTCACTTACTCATTCCCCCGATCTTTTCGAGCAGCTTGACTGACGTCCGCGACTAGGCATTTCGCTGGACACTGGAGAACGCAAACAAGGTAAACCAGGTCCTTCCAACGCGTACCGGGCCTTGAATTGACATAGCGGAACCAGCTCCTCATTCTGACTCAAGGCCGCTATCTCACGGGCGAAGATTACGAGCGTCTTGTTAGTGTCTTTCCTGGTATGTCTTCAACACCTGATCTTGCGTTCTTTGTGCTTTATACATTTATCTATACCTACACCCACACCCACACACCCAACCTCCCTCCAGCAACCCACTAACCCCTCCCACAGGAACAAACCTCAACGGCGTCAAAATCAAAGTCTCCCGTTTCCGCGTCGAGCAACGCAAGCTCTTCGACGAGTACGGCTGGACGCTTCCTGATGGCGGTGCAGTGCTGAAGAAGACGCCTACACCGCGCAAGAACAAGAAGAGGGATGCGGAGGAAGAGGCGGGCGATGGAGATGATGTTGAGGAGGAGACTCCGAAGGCGAAGAAGCCGCGTGGCAGGAAGGCCAAGGCAAAGAAAGAGGCGTGTGTTGAGGCTGAAGTCGAAGAGGAGGATAGTGGGAAGGTCAAAGAGGAGATTCTTGATGAGGATATGTAGATCTTCTGAGAAACTGAGACGTCACACATGGGGGCGAGAATAGTCGGTTTCTACGTATACGACTTCATTAGGATCGATATCTAGAGCATGACTGCCTTGATTATTGCGCATTCTGGCCCCCGGGGCGGTATATGAATCATTCAGCACAATCTGCGGGATTTATCTTACCCTGACAATCAAGATGTCAAGTGCGAATCTCCCGTGTCTATTCCCTCGGGGTAAAGTGTAAAGGTGAAGGTAACTCTTCCCTCAAAAAAGAAAATTAAGTAGAATCTCACTCTCACCTCACCTCTCCCCTCTTTCCACTTTAAGCACCAGCCAGACTCTAAACCTCGCACTCAAGACACGTATAAATAGCTTACTCCCGCTCGTCTCTCGACTCAATCTCTCTTCTACTCTTCCTCTCTCTTACACCATCCACCACCCCACACTAAACCAACATCCAATCCCAGTCCCTAAAGCAACTAACAAGTTACCAACCATGCCACCTAAGAAGAAGACCGCAGCAGCCGAAGGCGGCGTATGTTCCTCCCTACCTCTAGTATTTACTTATCGAGCCAGCAACTAACACCTATCTCAGGCATTCCGCTGGACGCTGGAGAACGAGAAAAAGGTAGGCATCCCGGTCTAGTCACCATGCCGGGTAGAGTGCGAACCAGAACTAACAGCTTCCTTCCCATGTAGCTCCTCATCCTGACACAAGGACGCTACCTCACAGCCGAAGACTACGAGCGTATTGTCGGCGTGTTTCCTGGTTAGTTTTTTTTCCATTGTCTTTCCCACTGTCCCAACTCCTACCTTCATTCATCTTCCCTCCCCAGTCTCATCCTCCATCCTCCATCAACCATTCTCCCTCCACTCCAACCTTCCCTTCTCAGTCTCAAACCCTTCCCACCCCCACCTCCAAAAGCACCCAACTAACCCCCCACCCACCCAGGCACCTCTATCAAAGGCGTCCAAGTTCGCGTCTCACTCCTCCGCGTCGAACAACGCAAACTCTACGAAGAATACGGCTGGACACTACCCGAAGGCGGCGCTAAAGCAAAGACGCCCGTTACTACACCGCGCAAGACACCCAACAACAAGACAACCAGTGGCAAGAAACGTGGCGCTGGTATTCTCGAGGGCGATGGAGGTGATGGTGAGGGTGTAGAGGAAGAGGATGTGGCTACGCCGAGTAAGAAACCGCGTGCCAAAAAGGCTAAGACCAAGAGCAAGAAGGAGGAGAGTGTTGAGGATGCGGTTGAAGAAGATGGTAGTGAAGGAGGTGGTGACGGAAAGTGTGTTGGTGTCAAAGAGGAGGTTCTTGATGAGGAGCTTGATGAGATGGTTTAGCCTATCTCCCCCCTCCACCTCACTATCTCTGTTTCTTTCCCCCGTTCTCTAGTTCAGGGGAAATCACTGGTTCTGGATCCGCTGCGCATGCAAGTCCGCATGCCGCATGCTGCATTAGACATTCAGCGGAACAAACACGGTCTGATGAGGGTATCGGGGCTTTGGTACGCGAGACAGACTTGCTTCTGCCAGGTTTATTATGGCGATGGATATGCGCTGAGCACTTGACTTGATCGTCTAGCTTGAGCAAGAAAATTTCATTGATGATATAATACTCTTGCATCCGTTTATGCTTGTGCTGTTTGACGTGTTTGAAGAGTGAGGTGTGTTTGGGAGAATAATGAGGGAAAAGATGGATGCAGCTATGGCTTAGAGAATGTTAAACTGCAGATTAGAGGCGCATGAACTATTCCTGCAAGTTAGTGAACTGGACATATACGCAGAGTTGAACACCATAAGAAAGAGAGGAAATAAGTGCTTCATTTATTTCACACATGACTAGAATTGTAGGTATCAAACGCCGTACGCCATGTCCTTCCTTACTCCAGTACCTGTTATCAGCGCCACATAATGCTGCTTTCTGGAGCATTCGCAAGTCCTATCAATTCGGGTATCTACCTCATTTGTCGCCCTTCTTCTTGCGCAGAGACTGCCCTGATCCTTCAAAATGCTTCGAATCTTTCTGCTCGCCTTCCTCCTCCTTGCCCTTGAGTGGCTTGATCTCGTACCCGAAGAACAATTTGTTGGGTGGTAGTCTGAGCGGCTGCGGGCCGTTGGTGCGTCGTACTGTCGGAGGTGGGTTTGATGACTGTCCTGCAATGGGGGTGGAGGCTTGTGGGGTGGGCGCCTTGCTGCCTTTCTTGAGCAGCTTGTGGCCGGTGGTGAGGAAATTTGAGGAAGTAGCCTTGGCTCCGTTGGCTGCGGTCGTCGATGATGGTGCGATAGCAGCGTAGTTGATAGCATCTGCCATGGTGCCTTGAGCGTGCAGTGTGCCGCCTTTGCCGCTCATGACGCCCTTTCCACTGCGCGGTGTGCTTGTGCCGCTGTTCCTTTGGGGCTCTTGGTAGCCTACTGGGGGAGCGAAGTCGACTGACAGATCGGTCTCGATGGTGCAGACGGCCTTGCTTGGGTGTTCTGGCTTGGCCTCCAACACTGCTATGCTATACACGTTGTCGTTGTATGAAAAGGTGAATATGTCGCCGACCGTAAGGCAGGAGAAGTTGCGGAACGCGTTTTCGAGTACGGCCTTGGGATCGGAGATTTCGAGGAAAGAGGAGTCTTGTGGTTGCAGCTTGATAAAGGTGCCGAGAGGGATGTCGGTCGACTTGACCTGTAGCAAGTCACCGGGCTCCAGTTGGAGTGTCTCCATAAGCCAGTATGGCAGGTAGATCTTGCCTTCTTCTGCGATGAATTCCAGCACACCTGCGTGTGTCTTCTTCCCGTCCGCCTTGCCGTTTATGAGCTCGAAGAGCATAGGGTATGTGATGTGCAGCCTGGTGAGCTTGTCGAGAGCACTCGGAGGGAGGAACACTTTGCCGCCGTGGTTTGCCTCGTGGCGCTCCGGGCCAGGCAACATGACGATGGGATAGCATCGAAAGTACTCATCGAAGCGTCGAGGAGCGCCGCCGCGACGTGCGGCGAGGGACTGGTACATGGCCATGGGATCGTCTTGGTCGTAAAAGTTGGGGTTGAACTGTATGTGGTGAGTGTAGGACAAAGAAGGTGGTCGGGTCGCACTTACCATTTTAAGTGTGCGGGATTAGTGAGTCAGATGATCTTTTAGAGGGCAGTGAATGGTTCAGGTATTGTTAGGTAACGGCGGGCAGGTGGTAGAAGTAATACGTATTGATGAGAGGCCTGGGATGACGACCGTGGTTGGCAGCAGTACAGCGGGCCGTTTGAGCCAGTGAGAAGTCCGCTAAACTCCGATTAGCGCGTCGTGGCCCAAGCTTCAAATTAATCGCGTCCGACGTCACTGCCTGGCCGCCTGGGCTCATCCTCCGCCGAACCTCGACGCCAGAATATCGCGCAACGTCGCTAATCATCATGGCCAGCTCTAGTGGAACATACAACCCCGCGCGACCGAAGCGCGCTGGCGAGCAATTCACGCGAACCCACCACATGGACGCCGACGAGCATTCGACAAAGAAACCCCGCTTTGACCCGCGCAACCCCTCCACGCTGGCTCCGGATGCAGAGGATGAGGAAGATCCTGCTCTCGAGGCTGACGTTATAGGAAAAAGCGCAGGCATCAAGCGGAACGCAGTCAACATCGACGGCTACGACTCAGATAGCTCCACGGAGAACTTCGAGGCGCGCGCAGAAGCCCGACCCAACAAGGACGAGCCGCCCAAAACAGAGGACGATGACGACGACATGTTCGCCGAGGATGACAAAGACGATGAGATGGACGAGGGACTGCGGAGAGATCAGACCAAAAAGAAGAAGTTGCGCTTCCTGGACGATGCCGAGATCGAAGGCCAGGAAGCGAACAGCAAGTCTGGGGGTCACGTAGCTGTTGACTTCACCAAGGGTCCGAAGAGCAGAACAGAAGAAGTCGAGAGCAGTAGTGATGAGGGAGATGACGAGTTGCGCGACCACGTACCCTCCGACGTCGACGAGGAAATAGGTGCAGGTGGCAAGAAGAAGCATGCGCCTAAGCTGGATGCTTTCAACATGAGCGCCGAGCAGGAAGAGGGTCGTTTTGACGAAGCCGGAAACTTCGTGCGCAAGGCCTTTGACCCCGAAGCTGCGCAGGACTCGTGGCTGGATGGCATATCGAAGAAGGACATCAAAAAGGCAAAGGAGGCGCAGGACAAGCTGGATGCCGAGCGAAAGGCACGAGAACGAGCCGAAGACTCCATCGTGACCAGCGACGTTCTATCGACCCTCATCACCCACCTGGACGTTGGCGAGACGCCCATGGAGGCTCTCGTGCGATACGGCAAGACAGCACCGAAGAAGCCAGCCAAAAACTGGGCCAAGAAGAAGAAAAGCCAGGCTATGGAGGTCGATTCAGATCCATCGCAGGATACTGCGGCGATCAAGGCAAAGGAGGTGATTGATTCCATAACCGAATGCGCCAGTCGGCTGTCTGATCGCGGCGTCGAGGATATTTACGAACTCCCCCGCGAATCCATCATGCGGCAGTACAAGCGTGAGACTGGAGAGGACTGGAAGAACCCGAACCCGGAGACAGTGCAGTGGGAGTTCCACTGGCTCAACGCACCAGAAGGTGAGATTAATGGGCCATACGACCAGGCGACCATGCAAGCGTGGGAAGCAAGTGGGCAGTTTGCAGCGGGAGCCGAGTTCCGACGCGTCGGCGAGACTGAATTCTCGCGGCTGCTCGACTTTGAGGACTGAAGGGGCATGCAATTGATGTAAGCACAGCCACGATGTCTGTCGCGTAACCAGTCCGCAGAAAAGGGATGATAGCGAGACGTCGCGCCCGAGAGTGCCCAGGTGGTGTTCGGCCCAGTGGCCGGATTCACATGATCAGCTATGCATGCAGGCTAAGCGATCCTACAAACCACATCTGCTGTGCTCAGCCAGTCGGAAACTTGAAAAAAGCGGGAAGCCGTCCCTGATCGTCTTCCATGGCCGAGTATATGCCTAGCTTTCAGATGGTCTGTCAAATGAGATGAGTGAGTGTGCTGTGCGGCGTGGACTGCGCAGCGTAGATGAAGATTATACAGAGTTATGTGTAGACCACAATAGAATATGAACAAGCAGTGTCAAGCGATGGGCGTGAATATGCAGCCTTATTCCAGTTGCACATCTGGGGTGCAGCACGATGAACCGTACCAGGGGAGATTACCGGTGGCAGGGTGCAGCTGAAGACGTCGCGTGTGCTCATCATGCACCCCGAGCGTCTCGGAGGATTCTGGCCAAAGGAGCAGGTCCCTCGAGTTCACGACGGGGCAGATTTGGCCTGTCTCGACGCCGTTGACAGCAGACACTTCTGGCAGGCGTTGATGGAAGGGCAAAGCAGAGTTGGTGTTGTTCCACGTTATTGGCAGGGAGCTAACGCTACGGCCCGCCACCTGGCGACTTCCAGAACGCCGGGCCATCCCTCTGTCGCCCTTTTGTGAGGCTGGCCCGTCCAGGGAGGGCGGTGATGTGGCGCGTGGGCAGACATGGTGGGCATGAGTAATGGGAGGTGTTGGGCTCTGGCCAGGGCATCTGTGCGGACGAGGGTATTTTAAGAGAGATGTCATGGTAGAGGGCGGCGAAGAGGTAGCGGCCTCAGACGGCGGGAGGAACAAGCCGTATACACAACTTAATACCAAACACGACCTAGGCAGAGTGCAGCGGGAGATGGTTTACGATGGGCGTCAGCCAATCAAGATGGACAAGTCGCTGACTCCTGACCTGGCCAGCCGTTCGCTGCGCGCGAGACTATTGAAACAGCTGCCCTCAGTCGTCGCGGGCACGTGTGCAGCCGTCTCCCCGCGCCGTTAGTGGGTGTCAGGACAACTTTTGCTTCCAAGCGGCGGGCATCGTCGTCGCATCCAGCCAGCTACGCATCCACCCGGTCGCGTGTTAGCGATATTGAAGCCCTCTGACGTCTGCTAGCCTGTTGTTCGCGTCCCACCGAAAAGTGCGGCTCGAAAGGGGACGACTGCGCTGGGTCCGCCAGGCATCCCTGATTATTACCATCGCCAGCCAACCTCGACCACGCAAGCTCGAGCTCACGCCGACCCCTTTTCTCCTCCGATCCGACCTGACCTGTTTGCGACGGCCGCCTTCCGCTCATTTCACGACATTACGAGCTTGGACCACGTGCTACTCTTACCTCCGCTGTTAATTTTCTTGCTCTGCACCCAAACACCGCCCCGGCCCTCCCTCGCCGCACACATATAATGTACTCGTCGGCGTACGACCAGTCGACGTCGCGCTCGCCCATTGCCCAACGGAACCAGCCCCACTCTGGCACCCTGCACCGCATGCCCTCTCGCCAGTTCGACGCCTACCAGCAGGTCCAGCAGCCCAACACC